CATGCTGTTGTCGAATTACAACGTTTACGAGCTTCCTCTGAGCGCAAATTTCAAAGATGGTTTTTTGAGACAAGAGAACAAGAGGAACGTGCGACAGAGAACTTGGCAGTTATGGCAAAGCAATTGGAGGATGAGCGTAATTCCAGAGCTCAAGCTATTCAGGACGCTGTTGAGGCATCCAGACGCAAAGATCATTCTGATAAAGTAATATCTGAGTTGAAGAGAGAGCTGGAGATCGCTAGAAGTGAGGCTCGTAGAGCATGGGACGAACTTGGTCGTCGTGAGACGGAGGAACGCGAACGAACAATCTCTTTGCGAGAAGGTCAGCCAACCTTGTTGGGTGGTGTCCAGGTTGTTCCAATGATTCAAGGTGTACCAAGTCGTCATGGAAGCACAGCTGCTCGAGATCTTCCTCCAACAAGACAAGGAGGTCCTTCTGATTCTGGAAGTGGAAGCGGAAGTGCGCGCACAGGAGGTCGATTCGCAGATCCCGAGAGTCCAGCTGGATCGAATGAAGCTTACCAACAATATCAGCGCTCTCAACGTGCAGAACCAGCTGATCCATTTATTGACAATGTTCGTCAGCGTCGAGGAGCTGCTACAACATCCGGACCATCTTCATCTCAAGCACCAGCAGTACAACCTGCCTCCCCAAGTACTTACTATCAACAACCTGAAGGTCGTCCAAGTACTCAAACCGGCAGGACCGAAGGACAGTATGATGGATCAAACAGTGACGAGGAATATGAGGTTGATGAGCAAGGAAGATACGTTCTTGACGCTGCTGGAAACAGAATTCCATACTCAAATGACGATTCTGATGATGATACGGCTGAGTATGAGCATAGTCCTCGTCAACACCGTCAAGGTCGTGCTCCAGTTACTGGACCTCCGATCCCAATGGCCGGCGTTGAGTACGGACAAGGTCCAACAAATAGCACAGCCGGCAACCCAACTTCTGCCCCCGCTGCCCCAGTCGATTACACAGGATCAGGATATGGTGCCGGTGGCTCAGGTGCAGGCTGGGAGTCCTTTCCTCGTCATCATCATCCAACTCGTCTCAGTGATGTTTTGGAAGAAGATGAGAGAAGCCGTACCAGTGCTAGCCAAGTCAGCCGACGCGAATAGACGATGTATAATGATCATATCATTATGATTTTTCAGTGGGTTTCCATCGAAAATATGTCATCACATCATCATTGGTTTGGTTTGCTGGATTTTTCTTTTTTGGTTTTATCTACACGAGATGAATCGGTTCATCGAGATAATAAAATCCCTAGAAAGGGTACTCCATAGGCGTACTTACTTCGTGGGAATGGCGTCCTATTTTTGCTTTATTTCTGTTCACTTTCCTATCTAATAGAATATCCCAGGAAAGGACAGAACGGATTGGTTCCCTGGGAAATGCATATGCATGGAACTGGCGTTGCAAAGGAGTTTTGGTACATTAATTTGAGCGAAGAAGGAGCATATTCGAATCGATGCATCAAGCAAGAGAAAGGGAGGGCCCTTTTAATGTACCTCTGTAAGATAGAGGAAGAAGCTGCATATAGTATTTACTAGGAGTTACAAGAGCAGTAGAGATAGTTAATAATGAAAGAAAACTTAATAATGTGACTAAAGTCCGTTGAAATGTGATCTGATGCTTGTAGCGAGGGGGTTGATCTGAGGAATTCGAATGAAACTAGATGACGCTGCTTTAACCAAAATAATTTATCTTAGTGAAAACCGGAGCCGGACTAAAGCGGCGTCCCAAAGGTGGGCTAATTGATCTGAAGCTCTAATAAATTTCAAGCAAGCATCATCAGTTCATAATCGCTTCCCCTCTCCCGAAGCTTTCTACATTGTAACTACAGCAATCATGTCAAACGCTATATTACCCACGAGTCGCAATATGCTCTTTACGATCTCGAGGACGGGTGCGAAGAATGCGCAAACTTTCGGGCTTCAATGTCAACGATTATCTACGATTTGCGCTTCGAGAATTCCGAGGGGTGTACAGAATAAAGCTTGCTTGAGCGGAGTGAAGGGATTCAATGGGTCTGCGAGTGCAGGGGTGAAGAGTATGGGATTGGGTGAGGAGAGTGCGGGGAGGAGGGGGTATAAGACGGTGCAGGAACAGAGGTCAAGATATAAATCTGGGGTAGGGAATTTGTTTCTTTTTTTTCTGGCTGGGTGGATGGATGGAATTTGAGGAAGGGTGTGGATGGGGGTGGGAGATTGCTCCTGCTTAAGAATATGTGACGTTTCTATTGAATCGTATTTGGAATGTGTTGTTGAGGACGAATAATCGCTAACGTGTTGTATCTGGAACAGCCTTTTTCGTGGACAGCAGGAGTCCTGTTTCTTGGAGCAGGCGCGGGGCTGATCTTCTATTTCCGATATGAAAAAGCGAGGATGGAGAGGAAGAGGATAGCGGAAGCTGCGAAAGGTGTAGGGAGACCCAAGGTTGGCGGACCGTTTGAGTTGCTCGATCATAAGGGAGGCAAATTCAGTAGTGAGGATATGAAGGGAAAATATAGCTTGGTAGGTTTTAATCTTTCTCCTGCGCAGTCGGATACATGTGGAAGAAGGAATTTGGGAGGAGAGGAAGAAGAGTGCTAATGTGATGAATTCAAATAGGTTTACTTCGGCTTTACCCACTGTCCAGATATCTGTCCCGAAGAACTCGACAAAATGGCTCAGATGATCGATCTCATCAACAATTCTCCCACGCGCACCTCCTCTACCCCCGCTCTCCTCCCTATCTTCATCACCTGCGACCCCGCGCGCGATACCCCCGCCGTGCTGGCCACCTATCTTGCGGAATTCCATCCTAGCATTATTGGGCTCACGGGCACGTGGGAACAGATTAAGGATATCTGTAAGAAATATCGGGTTTACTTTTCGACGCCCGAGGGCGTGCAGAAGGGCCAGGATTATTTGGTCGATCATAGTATTTATTTTTACTTGATGGATCCGGAGGGGGATTTTGTCGAGGCGATTGGGAGACAGCATAGTCCGGAGCAGGCGGCGAGGATTATTCAGGAACATGTGGGGGATTGGAAGAGGTGAGGTGGAGTAGTCGGTTGGTTGGTTGTATGAGTTATATGGATGTAGAAATGATCGGTTTGCGATGAGGTATGCTAGATGTGGGGAAGGGGGTGGAAATGTGTTATTATTAGATGGTTGGCCTTTAGAGGCCGTGTATATGAATATTTAGCCATGAGTGTAGGGATTAATGAAAAGCGCACGCAGCTCTGTATATGCATCTGTATAATGTGATGTTCCTACTGGAAGGTCATGAATGGGTATTGATTGGTTTTTATCTTCTTCTGGGGCATTTTCAATGGCAAGTCGCCATGATATACTTGGATTAGCTGGGGGTATTGGTTTGTGTTTGTATTTGTTGGTGTGCATATTTTCGTGCATGTAGTATGTATATATGTATATGTGTATGTGCGTTGCTTTATTAGATTTGTATATGTTAGTTTGCAGTGGGTAAGTGATTCTTTTGGTGGGTGGAAATTGAATAGAAGAGGGGGGAGAGGAGATGAGATGAGATAATGGGGTTTGGTTTGGTTTGGTTTGGTAGGTAGGTTCATTTCTTTTGGGATTGATATTGCGGTTTTTGGGTTTATCTTGGAAGGAGAGGGAGCGGGGGGTTGAGGGGGGTTTGGGAGATGGGAGATGGGAGGAAAAGAGCTGGTGATGCTGAATGATGAGGTGAGGCGTAGATGTGTTTGTGATCTGAGGTTGATAGGGGTATGGATGGGGTGTGGGGTGAGATGAATGGAGGTGAGTTTTTGGTGAGGAACTTTGAGATGGAAGAGAAAGAGAGGTTGAGATAGGGACGGGGGGGACAGGGAGAGTGAACAATAGGAAGAGTTAAAGATACCGATCGAGTCGAGATGATATGGGGTGTGTGAGAATGAAAATGAGAAAGGGATCAAAAAGATAACGAGAAGTAATGAGCGAGGAAACTAGCTTTGAGGAGGACATGATGGATGGCCTGATAGTGCAGATCATCATCTAATATTTCACTTCCGCTGTTCGTACCGCTGCGCTCTGTCGGAATTCGCGAAAATTAGACTCGTAAGAGTGTATTCAGATTCGAAATGGTAAGATTGGTGATAGCTAAGCAGTGGGAGAGTTTCCAACAGATGGGTTTGGGGGCTTGGGTTCGTCATACCAAGATAGTTCAACATTTTAATGCGACAAAACGTTCTCGAGGATGGGGCAGTGTAGATATTTTTAAATGTTCCCTCATGTGACACTACTTAAGCACATCTTTCCGAGATCTTGGGTGAGTAGATTAGTTGGTGGTCATTTTACTTGACACGCTTGGAGAAGGAAAGTCAAGCGTGAAGTGAGAAACTTTCGTCCATGGGATCAATCATTCACAACGTAATCATATTATGAAATATTAGCGGCTCATCTTCCTTCTCCTGAGTTATTGAATCCGTGGATGGCTGGATCAAATGGAAATCGCCTTTTGCAAACTGACTAACAAGCCATGCAGTCCCTTCTGCGCCTATCCGATATGTAATTCCGTGCTTTGGATGGGAGTCTTTCTACCCATTGCCATAGCTATTTTGCAACCCGAATGCGAGGAACCGAGTCGCAGTTCTTTGCCTAGTATACTTTTGTCTTTTGTTTGCTGTATCTCAACGAGGCAGTGTAAAGACGTTTCCTGATTGTTCCTGCTTTTTTCCTCATGCTGTTGACATTCTTGTTATTCGAGCATCCACGGGAGTTGAAACGTCAAGGTGGCTGTGTCATCTCGTGGTTGACTTGAAGGGCACGTTTGTCATTTCTTTTGAACTTTCAGATAACTTTGATCTGAGATGGAATTCACTGCTGCTATCTCATGCTATGTTTGGGGCAGTGAGTCGGCGGTGAGCCGGCAGTGTACTTGCTGTATTCGCACTACTTTTTTCATGGTCATATCTATATAACTTGCTGTGTCGATATTTGTACACTACCTACATCTTACACCGTACATACCACGAATCTTCATAATGGCTACCCTAATCTACCACGCAGTAATCTTCGTACTTCTGATCACGTTCACGCTCGCTCAAGTTCGCATTCCTATCACAAGGAAAATTCATGCTCCACATCCTGCTCTCAATCGTCGTCTCTCTGCCCGTGACTCCGTCTCTGCATCTCTTGTCAACGAGTTGACACAAGCGAGCTATGTAATCTCCGTCAAAGTCGGAACTCCACCTCAGGATGTTGATTTGACTATCGATACAGGAAGCAGCGACACCTGGTTAGTCGCCAATACTGCCGCCTCATGTACTGGTGTTGGATTATCAGGGAAAAATGGATCTGCTCTAGTCTTGTGCGAGACACCATGTAAGTATTTTTATCCTTGTATGGTTTCTTAGCGGCTTCAAAGAAAACTGCCAACTTTAATAGCAAAGACGCATCCTCGAAAGCATGGATGGAAATGTTGAATTTTTGCTAATATGTAATAGACAACCCAAATGCTTCTTCAACCGTCGAGTTGAACATCACGACTGATAAATTCAATATCGAGTATGTGAATGGTGATAAGGCCAAAGGACCTTATATAGCCGACACTCTTGTGCTCGGTAATGCCACCATTAAGTCTTTTCAGATGGGTCTCGCCAACGACACAAACATACAAACTGGAGTACTGGGACTTGGTTATCCTATCAACGAGGCCGCTGATACCATTTATCCAAACATCATTGACGAGCTAGTCTTCCAAAATCTCATAAGTACCAGAGCGTATAGTCTCTATTTAGATTCTCAAGACTCGGCTACTGGATCCCTTCTTTTTGGTGCAGTCGATACCACCAAGTTTGTCGGTGAACTAGTGGGCATAGATATAGTACCCCAACCTATCTGGAATGGCTCGGTTCTCTATTCATCATTGTCAGTTGAGCTTGCTGCAGTGGGCATCACAGATCAAGAAGGCAATTCTGTAAACTTGACGACTTCTCGTCAAGTTGTACTTCTGGACTCTGGGAATACGCTTACCATATTGCCAACTGAGGTTACGGATGTCATGTTCAAAAAATTCAACGCCTACGATGATACAAACTCCACTGGCAATGTCTACCTCCCTTGTTCACTGCTCAATACCTCATCTTCTTTAACAGTCGACTATCTGTTCTCTTCCTCTTCCGCTTCTGCTATTATTAAGGTTCCTATATCAGAACTTGTGTTTCCACTTACAAATCCGACTTACGCACTGTATCCCGAGGATACTCTCCCAGATTTGCCATTTAGCGGCGAAGCATGTGCGTTTGGAATACAATCGACAAACGCGGACTATCATTTGCTTGGGGCTACCTTTTTGAGAAGTGCAGATGTGGTCTACGACTTGGATAATAATCAGATTGGACTCGCGCAGGCCAACTTCAAGGAAAATGATGCGGGTGCCAGTTCAAGCAATGAGAATGGCAATGAGCATATTGTCGAGTTGAAAGCAGGAAAATCAATTCCGGCTTTAACTGGCGTTAGTGTGACGAGTTCGGCGGAACCTAGCCCTACCAGTAGCGCTAGCAAGACTTCGAGTACTCCTGCTGACATGGCAAAAGCTACAGCGACTGGAAAGTCTAGTGACGCTGTATCTGCGTTAAGGAATGTAGATTTCAGAGTTCTTGGTATATTTGTGCTGGGAGGTTTATTTTTGAATGGAGCAGTCGTCGCATGATCATTTTGGCAACACATTGCTGGTTATACAGGGAGAATGAAAAGGGGAAGCAGATTTTTTTCACTGAGAAGTAGTCATAAGATGTACTAGACATAATGAGTGGATAATCCATGCATTTAGAGATACAGAGGCCTATCATTTTGCGAAGTAATCTAAACACAATGACCATCATTAGCTATTCATAGAAACACAAGAGTCAGAATCATCCCACCTTTGCGCTACTTTATACTATCGAATTTCACTCAGGAAATTCGTGCTAACATGACACAAACACCGCAGAAACTTTATCATGCCCCTCACCATACCCCTCCAATTCTGATTACCTGCATATGCATACCCCGCTTTTTTGTGCATGATAGCTCTCCTTTTGTCCACCTGCGCAGAATAGATCTTATTCCTCGCTTCCCATAGGATTGAAGAGACAAGGTTTATATTTCTGCAACCGAGCCTAATGTCCTTCATAAGTAATCTATACGTAGGAGAAAAAAGAGGCCAAAGTGAGCACCTCAGTTTTATATTAAATCAATTGATAAAAACGTTCATGAGATTTAATAGTATAGAACAGATCCTTCCATTGGTCTTTAGTTATCATACTATTTAAGCTTTTCATTGCTTGAATTGAATTAGAACAATCAGATTGTTGAAAGGTTTCGGCAGTGGCCAATGCCAGTCTGTTTTTTCTCCTGCGAATACCTAGGTAGGTAGTGCTGGCAAATACTCCTCGGCTATATGTATGAATGTTGATGATAATGCCAAGGACTTTCTTGCATAGAATGATGGTATAACTATATAATATGAGAGCAGGAAAATTGTTGTAATCGTTTTCGAGCAAAATTGCAAATCAATTCTTTGCTGTGAATTTTACTATAATATTTAGTAGCTTTCTTCTTTAGGGTATTTTTTTCACAGTTTCGCTTACGGCTCGAATTAAAGCACCGGAGAACGTCACGAAAACGAAGAAAGATACTCAACTGAGAATATCATTATGACTTCTCTCGAAACTCCCAAGGTTGCGCTTATTACAGGGACAAATGGAATCTCAGGATCCGCCTTGTTGAGGCAACTTTCTAAGAATCCGGTTTGGTGAGTATCCAATCAGGAGATATCTTTCAACTTCCAACTGAAATCTTCTCTTGATACCAGGTCCCGTATCATTGCCCTTTCACGCTCGCCACCCTCCAATCTCCCTTCCGATCCCCGCATCGAATTCCATTCTCTCGATCTCACAGGTACTGCTGGTGAAATTGCCGAGGCTTTGAGTGCCAAAGAGCTTACAAATGTTACGCATTTCTTTCACTACGCCTACATTCATACCGACTATGACCATCCTAAACACCTAGAAGAGATGACCAAGAATAATGTACCTCTCTTCACCAATACTCTCACTGCTATCGATCTCACTTCTCGTGATACTTGTAAGTATAAAGCCCGTTCAAATTGGCTATCCCGTCCAAACGTTGGATTCATTCAAGATATTTACATTGTTTCCATGTCATCCGACGACTCTTTCACACCAACCCTGGCACTCAAAGGCTGACTTTCCTATTGTAGTGCAACGTGTGATTCTTCAAACCGGAGGAAAAAACTACGGTTTACTTACATCCCCACCTGCCTCAGAGCCCCTAACCGAAGATGCTCACCGGGTGACCGACCCTCGTTCCCGTAAGCTTCAACGCCCCACCTCTACCATTTCTCGACTTCAAGCTCGCATTTCCTCCGAATACACTTGCATCCCACTGACTCTCATATTCATTTCAACTCTCGATATTCATAACCTCGCTAATGAGTTACTAACTTCTCATCATAGTCCCCAACTTTTACTACCATCAAGAGGATTTTCTCTGGTCACTCTCTGAAGATCGTTCTTGGGATTGGAATATCACAATGCCGTTCTGGATATCAGGGTATGTAGGGAAATCCGGAAACAGCTGGGTTACATCCGCAGCCATTTACTTTAGTCTCTGTCAAGCTCTCAACAAACCCGCGATTTTCCCCGGTGGAGAAGATGAGTACTATGGGAAATGGGACAAGGGACAACACTTCAGTACGAGTTGGGTGATTGCAGAATTTACAGAGTGGTTAGCGTTAAATGAAGAGCCGACAGTGAAGAATCAGAAGTTTAATATTGTGGATGATACAATTACCACGTTCCGAGACGTTTGGGAGGGAATTGGAAGGTATTTTGGGGTTGAGACCAAGGTGGAACGGAAATATGATTTGATGAGTGAAGTGAAAGAAATGGAGAAAGAATGGCCGAAAATTGCAAAAAATTATGGAGTAAGAGAGGATGCATTGGGGATTGTCACATGGGATGCGTTTGTTTATGCGATGAACGCTGGGGAGTGGGGAAGTATGGTTAATATGGATAAAGCAAGTAAAGCGGGGTGGACGAAGAAGGTTGATACTATTAAGGAGATGGAGAAGGTATTTGGGGAGATGAAAACCGATGGATGGATTCCGAATGTCTGAGGAGAAATTCGGCCAAGAGATTCTTCGTCGTCTAGATATAAACCTCGTACATTATCTTTTGTTCTTAATTCAAATATTCAGTGCAAAAATCAATGACTTGTCGATTTCCTAAAATGCAAAATTTGTAAACACTTAACAGTTGAGATAACGTCCTGAGACGCATTACGCGAACTTTGATGTTAGCAACTTCGATTATCAGTAAATACACTAGAACCTTCAAAAGGCTTGGATAACATTATCCAGATCGACGAGTGGCAAACTACCAGTCAAACTATAATGGCTTTTCATTAATAGCCTGTATGTATATGTCTTGTTGATGATTACATTGAATCCAATGCTTACTAAAGCTGGAATGTTTTACATTGCCCCCTGTTTCTGATTCTTGTCATGCTGAAAATTGATTTCCTTGGTACAATCAATTAAAACATTTGATACACGTATTCAGACACCTTACATATATTGGTTCTTCAAGATTGTAGTATTCCAAACCCAAGTGATTTCCGCGGCTCAAACGCCCCCGCGGATTCTTATGGGTAAAGTCTTCATCTCTATGGCTCGAGAATGGTATTTCTTTCGACCATCGAGATTCGCAATGAGGGTGCAAGTTGATTTCTTTTTTGATTCCCGGCGTTTCTTCACTGAAAGAAAATTGCACTGAGATGCATTGGGTTAATAGTCCCAACATTGTCTCCCGGGACTTGGATTTGATACAGGCTGATGCTTTCCTTTTGAGCTTCAGTTTCTCAGGGACCATAATTGGTGAACTTGATTCAAGAACTTAACGTATTATGACTCAAAGCGGCAGCAGCAATAACATTGACCGATTAGAACCAGCGCACTCATTTGCAAGCTAAAATCAAAAGACGTCCCCCCAAAAAGAAAAGATTAATTGCATACGTATGTGAGCGAATGATGCATTGCGGGAACCCGCATTCATGACCCAGCGGTCCGCCGCAACCAGCTCATACTGGATAGAATTCTGTAGTAAAAGCGCTAGCTTCACAAAAAACACATCTCAAAGAACCAATCGATAGCAAGGATTTCCTTGTTCTCGTCATCGAATACTGCAAAAACAATAAGCTAAATCAAAAATCGCCCTAGTATTGTCGCGGCACTGATCGTTACAAATATTGATCTTGCCATTTCAAAGTATTGCCACCCCTAGCGATCGAAAGGAATTAGTGGTGACCATTCCGCTAGATAGGCAAGCTATTGATTAATTCTGTCGACCTACGTAGCAGAATGCATCCACGTCGTCTTCCCGAATGTCGAAGTCCTGCTAATCAATGTGACAAAAGCCCATTTGAGTATGTAGGGAAGCAAGAGTGCTCCACTAATGAGAAAACCACTGAAGATCTTGGTTCCACACCACTTTCCATTGGGACGATAAAAGACATTTAGGAAGAAAGACCGATTGAAGACTTCTTAGAAGTTTTATGTATAATGTCAAGTGCTGAAAAGTAAATCAAGTGCATGAGCACGAGCCCTAACCTAGTTTCATCCGCCACGTGATTTGAGAGAAAGCGATGTATGTAGGCTGAGGTAGAGGAGTGGCGATGAATCATATTAGTTTCTTGTTGGTTGGCTCAACACTTGTCAATTTGCAGCAGGTACTGAAGCCAGGTACCTAGTATATATACGATACATGGTTAGGAACATAAGGGCATATGCAAGATGAAGACAAAATGCTCCGCACGGCAGCACGTACCCGTTCATGAGAACTCACAGCATTTTCCTTTTTTGGCCGTTTGCCATGTTCCATATATATTGGCCAACGCCTCTAGAATGTCTATACACCTGCCGATTGACAATCTCACCGCCGTTTCATTGGTACAAAAAACACCTGCGAAAACTTCAGCATCACACAGTGAATAATTGGTGGCCGAGCAAGAGATCCTAATGGACTTCCCAGCCCAGACTTCTATGGCCTTGATGTACCTATAGAATACCTGCAAGTATGAAAGCCCCTTCTGAGTCGTATACTTTGTTTGTATATTTTCCGAGTTCTTATGGCTGTCTATCTTTTGACTGACATTTTCATCTAGGTAGGTCAATATAGCAAGTCCTTGCATAACTTTTCCCGCAATGCAATGTTCCAAGAGATGCTCCAAGTTCCAACGAGAATCCAACATTAATGAATGGCATCAGCGGAACACCAAAACTTTCGAACCGTACTCCGTAAGCAAGTAGCTTGCATTCTCCACTATCATGTCTCGTTAGCTCCTTGTCATCTGCGTCAATACTTCCAATCAAAGTGGATTCACAAGATATGAACGATATCTTGGACAGTGGTTGCTTGTTCTTACCAACATAGTTTAGACATTTGGACATTACATTACCTAGGTAAATTCGATGGGGTAGATATCTATAAGGTTATTATGCACGCCATTAGATCCGGATTTCAGTGGAGTGCCTTTTTGTGGGGGCTGGTGAATACATCTCACGATACCAACAAAACTACCCAACGAGATAGGTATGTATCTATTGTAGAACCGATCAATCAACCTGGGTCTACTAATGTTGATTTTGTCCGGATAAATTCAGTACTGGGAAGATTCCTCCAAGGAATGAATTTTTACTGCAAGTGCAGGTATAACCAATCAATTAATCTTGGATATGAGAAGTTTACATGTATACCACACAACCTGTGTGTATTCCTCTTCCGAGTCTCGTTCGGAACGTTTGGTCTTCGGGAAAAGTACCCCAGGAAGCTCGGCTGTAAAGACATTCTGCATGCCAGCATGGCTGGCTCCAAGACTAGCTAGTTACCCCTAGACGAAAATCACACCTTCCTAGTTCTAGGCGATGACACAGTCATCCAATGATAGAAAAGTGGCCTTGCAAATTATCATTTTATCCATTGTCATATGCATTTCACAAGTGGGAGCCGTTTTTATGGCGATAATTCGTGAACTGAAGAGCGAGTGGAGAATTAGCAAATAGACCACATAGCGGCTGCGTGTTTTGGGAGAGAAGCTTCACATGTCTGTTTCTCAAAGCTTACGACTGTACAGTTGTGTGTCTCGTACAATTTCAACCAGTTACATTCTTCAATTTACCATCGGACAATCGTCCAACTGCGGAAATGAAGAACAAGATCAAATTGAGATTTCGGTCACCGGAACATTATGCCGGGGGGTAGACGTTTATCATGCTGCCGCATCTGCGCTACGAACTCAATTATGCAGACTATACTCACGTTGCACTCAAATTATCTGGACCAGTTATATACTTCATATCTTCTCTACTTCTATACCTTTCCGCAGTTTCCTTTCCTGCAGTTGTCCGGAATTCTTGTCAGAAATCCTTGCTGCATACATATTATGTTTATGCCCCACCCTGGAACCACACCATAGAATTTGAGCAACTAACAAATACTCGCACACTGCACCTGCACAATGGACTCTATTCCTAGTCTTTTAAATAAAGTTCATGGCATGTCACCGAACATCGTTTCTCATTTCGATCATCATTTCACCACTTGATGAACGATTCTATCAAAGGCAACGACAATGGGTAAAAGGGACGACATATGTTCCTTTCTTGGATATGAAAAAGATAACCCTACGAAAGATCGTCGGAATCTGTTAAAATCTACTTCTGCGTTTTTGGCCGATTACGAAGCTCGCGGGAACAAGGTTTATGGTAGAAAAGCCGAGTCTATTGGAAGTCGACTGTGTGCTGTGAATTTTCTTGAAGAAGAAGGCAGAGGGGAGAGGTTCTGGCCGCCAGCATCAGATGGAAGCTTGGTTTACGAACAAGCTCGTGATAAAGAAATGTGAGAGAAGATTTGTTTGCTTCTTCTATGCCGCTGTATTCTGAGAATTTCGGTTTCTAGTATCATCGATCATGTAGCCGACCTATTTCTCATCCACGCAAGATCCAACTATAGCAAATTGGTATGTACTACTCTTGTCTAATTTTGTTTTTATGAAATATGGCACATCTGATGGATGGCCTCGCTTCATTTCTGATGATTTGCGAGCATGTTAATTTCCCGTGTGGGAGCTAACGCCACAATCATGCAGCATGCGAAACGGAGGAGCCAAAAACACAATGCTACCTCCCCACCATCAAATGTTAACAATGAACATATTAGCAACAAACCCTCGGCTCTGAGTACACCTGAAGTATTTCCTTCTGTAACACTTTGACCTTCAATTCCAGATACTAATTGTGCGCACAGGAAACGTACTTGGAAGACGAAGAGCCACAATTTACTTATAGTTCGTCTTTAATGACCATCAAGCCAGAATTATGCCTTACACCATGGTTAGATCCGCCAAAAAGATTTGACCGTAACGTTGCTATGCCGTGGGCAGAGCGTATTGACCCCAAAAACCTTCCAGATCCACCGATTCGATTGGGGAAGGATTGGTTGTCACAGGTTGTTCTCTCAAATGCCAAATTTTCATGAAAGCTAACTTGAGCTTAGAAGAGTGTACAATGGCCCAGTGCAGTTGATAAGGAAATCCAGTACTTTATGCATAGATGGTTGTTTTATTACACAAATGATTTAGAGAATGGCACAGATGATGGAATTCAAAGTCTCGTGAGTCTCTTGAGGAAGAAAGAGGGTACAAGTGCGGAGCTCGGCGGCACACAACTTGGAGAATTCAGAAGGCGAATTATCGATAGAGTGAGACATTGGACAGAGACATTCATCAATCATCAGTTTGTCGAATTACAAGCCGACGGTGTTCCTCAGATGACCGCAAGATTTCGCGCAATATGGACAACCCTAAAATATGACACACCTACTCCCCGCGTCAGTAATCGAAGACGAAGTGTTGAAGAAGAAACGCCGCCAGAGACCCATCGCAAGCGACGAAAACTTTCAAAGAAATCTGAAGACAATGCGCTGGATAGTAGTAGATCAAAGAGAAAACCTTGGACCGAGAATGCATGGCGACGCAAGACAATTCCACCTCCCGCGGACATGACTTTCCCAAATCTGATATCGAGAAAAAGCTCTATTATCGATCCCGTGACCGTGGTGGTGACACCCCGGGCCAGTGTTAACGAAGAAGACAGTGATGAAGAGAGGTTTCAAAAGTGTGAAGTGCATGAAGGGTCTGAGGTATGATTTAAATTATAGCAAATTC